TGCGCGCTCATTCCAGTGGGATTCCAGACTTTTGGCGCGCGCGCTAACAGCATGTCGGTGCGTTGTTGTTGTTGTTGTTGTTGTTGTTGTTGTTGTTGTTGTTGTTGTTGTTGTTGTTGTTGTTGTTGTTGTTGTTGTTGTTGTTGTTGTTGTTGTTGTTGTTGTTGTTGTTGTTGTTGTTGTTGTTGTTGTTGTTGTTGTTGTTGTTGTTGTTGTTGTTGTTGTTGTTGTTGTTGTTGTTGTTGTTGTTGTTGTTGTTGTTGTTGTTGTTGTTGTTGTTGTTGTTGTTGTTGTTGTTGTTGTTGTTGTTGTTGTTGTTGTTGTTGTTGTTGTTGTTGTTGTTGTTGTTGTTTGTTGTTGTTGTTGTTGTTGTTGTTGTTGTTGTTGTTGTTGTTGTTGTTGTTGTTGTTGTTGTTGTTGTTGTTGTTGTTGTTGTTGTTGTTGTTGTTGTTGTTGTTGTTGTTGTTGTTGTTGTTGTTGTTGTTGTTGTTGTTGTTGTTGTTGTTGTTGTTGTTGTTGTTGTTGTTGTTGTTTGTTGTTGTTGTTGTTGTTGTTGTTGTTGTTGTTGTTGTTGTTGTTGTTGTTGTTGTTGTTGTGTGTGTGTGTTGTGTGTTGTTGTTGTTGTTGTTGTTGTTGTTGTTGTTGTTGTTGTTGTTGTTGTTGTTGTTGTTGTTGTTGTTGTTGTTGTTGTTGTTTGTTGTTGTTGTTGTTGTTGTTGTTGTTGTTGTTTGGTGTTGGTGTTGGTGTTGGTGTTGGTGTTGGTGTTGGTGTTGGTGTTGGTGTTGGTGTTGGTGTTGTTGGTGTTGTTGGTGTTGTTGGTGTTGTTGGTGTTGTTGTGTTGTTGGTGTTGTTGTTGTTGTTGTTGTTGTTGTTGTTGTTGTTGTTGTTGTTGTTGTTGTTGTTGTTGTTGTTGTTGTTGTTGTTGTTGTTGTTGTTGTTGTTGTTGTTGTTGTTGTTGTTGTTGTTGTTGTTGTTGTTGTTGTTGTTGTTGTTGTTGTTGTTGTTGTTGTGTGTTGTTGTTGTTGTTGTTGTTGTTGTTGTTGTTGTTGTTGTTGTTGTTGTTGTTGTTGTTGTTGTTGTTGTTGTTGTTGTTGTTGTTGTTGTTGTTGTTGTTGTTGTTGTTGTTGTTGTTGTTGTTGTTGTTGTTGTTGTTGTTGTTGTTGTTGCCGTTGTTGTGTTTTTTTGAACCCATGCCTAGACCAACAAGGGCTCCTGGCAATTCCATCAAGCTGGGCCCAAATACCATCTCAGTAAGGAAGTCAAGCGCTTCCAGCGTGCACCCGTTGCTGCGATCCCGCAAGACATCTGTTGGCTACAAACACTTAATCTCCGGGCGTGGCAGCAAAGTGCGTGCCAAGTTGCTCGCTCGTGTTCCTCGTCCTGGCACAGATATGGTCACAAGTGAGCCGGAAGCACCCCGGTGATCTCAACCTTACCAATGCAGCCGAGGCCACCGTCTCATCTTCTTTGTCCTCACCGCGCACTCAAAGTCCCGCACAACCGACTTCTCTGCGTCGCAAGAAAGCTATGGCCATGGGTCAAAATCTCTTTTCCCCCAGTGAACATCCCAATTCCCACCCAAATAGGTTCTACAACGGGTGGTGACTTCACCAATCCCAACCTGGCATCCCCAAAACGGTCCAATGACACCAGCCATCTCACCATGACAGGAGCTGCGGGAGGGCAAGGCAACTGAAAACGAGACGGTCCTCAAAACCCGTGTCGCCGTTGAAGCAGCGATAGAACTTCTTGCCTTACGCCCATCAAGGGAACGCGACGCGCGGCGGTCCTACTGGAGCCTCAAGAGTGATTTCAGGTGAGTCGTCCTGTTGCAACCGCCAAGTGGTCCAAGGCGGATTTGGTGTGTCCTTTTCAGGGGACCGCCAAAAAGATGTGTTTTGTCCTTTGAGTTTCCTTCTAAACCCATCAAAACACAAGGTAAAAGACACACCCAAGTAGAACTGCTCTCTTCCGCCCGGGCGGATGTGCGCCATGTGCTCGTGCAGGGGGTGCAACAAGGACTCCGTGTCAGTGGCGTTCAACAGCCCGATCTTCCGCGCGTCCAGCACAAAATGCTCCAGCTCCCGCACCGCGTTGATGCTCTCCTCAAGGCGTTTCGGAACGTTTCGGAAAGTTCGTCGAAAGTTTCGGACAGCTTCGTGCAAAGCTCCGTATTGTCGTTTCGTCGCTTTGGAGAGTGTCGTTGTTTCTCATTTGGAAAACTGTCGTTTTGGAAAAGAGCCCAACGTGTGGTTGTGGTCCAGATCCATGTTGGGGATGGCTTAAGTCGCTGATCAACTCGCCGCATCTCGTGCCCTTTACGATCTTACCTGCTGGCTCTGCCTGGCTCTGCCTGGATGCTTGAGCATGGTGATGTTCCTTTGTGTGTCCCTTTAAACAACTAAAAACAAAGCTGCCAAAAAAGAAAAGAAAAACAACTCAGGAGCTGACCCTTTTTGACCATGTGCCACCAAAAAAGCTGCCTGCCGTGAGTTGCAGTTTGCAGCTCTTGCCGAGCCACGCGCATGTTGCTCACATTGCGCCGCACCACGATGCCAAGCCGAGACTCCTGGCTAAAAGACGGGCAAACAGATACCCTCCCTCCAACTAACATGGCACCTGTGGGGAGTTACTTGAAAGATCAATTTCCTTTTGAAGCGACCCCTGTCATGTGCCATGTTAGTGGCAGGGAGGGTAGGTGCCCAAAACATGCGCCGCCTTGCCCTTGGAAAAACCTGGCGTTGCATATGGCGTTTTTGATCTTCCAAAAGAGCTGCTCATGAAGGCGTATACGGCCATCCTCGCCAACTCATGCCCTAAATTTCCTCGTCGCGATTCACAGAATGGCCCAACTTAGACGACAACCCTGAACGGCAAAGGGTGGAATTATATTCGTTGCATTCACCCAACCACTGTTGTTTCCTGGTTTCAGTCTTTGGGTCTGCCTAGCGCCACAGAACTTGCGCCAGCCACCCCTCGAACTCTCTTTCGCGCGCGCTTTCGCAAGCGGCCTCTTCCACGGCGGCCTGCATCGCGCAGAAGACCTGCGGCGACTGCCGAAAAACTCGCGAAAAAACCGGGGAGCGAGGTGCGGACGCATCCATCGCCTGAATCTGCGACTGCAAGATGACCCGGCAGATCTCGTCGTTGTCCAAAGTTCCTCCGGAAAAAAAAAAGAACAACTCATAGGCCGGTGGGTTTCACACGCTGTACGACCTCCCGGGAGTTCAGTGATCTTCGAGCACAAAAGGAAACATAAAAACCGCACAATCCACCCCTGGCCCCAAACGCCAAGGTACAAAGCCTTTGACTGGAAGGCTCTGGGTCCATTCAAGCAACATCGAGTGCAGAAACATCGCCTCAGTACCCGCCCAAACCTATGTAGAGCTTTGAAATGAATCGAAGTCGCGGAACAAGAGTTAAAACCGCATAGAAAACCCAAAGCCCAAAACCCTCCGTCCCGGAAAGGCCAGCCCAAAACCCTTCCGCTCCTCGGCAGAAGAACCTCACCATGGAGGTCTGAGCCTTTAGATGGCCCAACACGAAGCCCTCCAGGAGAGCCTCACATCGGTCCCACTTTTGGGGCTGGATGGGCCTTGACACTTGCCAGAAAAAACATAATATATATATATATATATATATAAAAATCCCAAGGATGACCTGAGGGTCTGTCTTTGTTTGAGCCTCCCTACCCCCGCGCTTTGTCGTTCGAAAGGGAAGCCAGCAGGAAACCGTTGCCATGTTCGGGGTGTTCCCCAAACAAGACATCCCGACGTTCCTCATATTGTCAGTATTCAGCAACTTTCAAAAAACTACACCTGCCAAGTCCGACCGTGAACTGGAGATACAGCTAAGGTTGAGGAACGACGGACCTTGCTACCAAAACCCCCTTCACTGTCCCAAGACCGGATGACACTAAAACCTTCAAGTGACGTAATGGCCTGGACTGGCGGCCACGCCCGCTCGCTCGCTTTCCAGTGACATCTTCTCGAGTTTAGAGCGTGTGAGCCGCGGTCAAAATCCTAGTGCCCGTTAAGGTCCCCTTCGTTTGGTCTGTTTGTATTTTATATATATATATATATTGTTTTTTTTTTCCCCCCCGGGGACCCCGTGTTCTTTCCCTTGGTGTCCCTTTAAACAGCCACCATACAAGGGGTGCGCTCAACAAAGGCACACCCATTTGCAAAAGAGCTGTTGCTCCTTAGGCTGGACTTTCGGCACCGAGCTCGAACTGCTCTGCATCTTTTGGCGTGTCTCTTGTTTTCAGGGGGTAGCAAAGGGAAACCTGGGTCCGTCTTTTCTTAGTCGACCCCCAAAAAACATATGACGCCCCTCCTTTGGCTTCCTTTGAAACCGCCGCCCAAAAAGGCGGTGTCCAACTCAACAAGTGACACGCCCTGAGCAAACCCCGGCGTCACTAGGAAACACACGCAGCCCCGCCTGTTGGGAGTGTTCCTACCCTCACGGAAGCCAACTCTGTCTGGAAAAGCTTCCTCGCTTCTTCCCCATGTGTGGCTTTAAAGCGAAACCAAGGGCGACTCCCCCTCCCCCCCACTCCCACAAAAAAAAGAGGCTCTGGCTCGAAAACATGTGCCAAAATCGCACCTTGACATACCTTGGTGAGTTGAAGCAAAGACTAAAACCTGCCTAAGCCTAGCTCTTTAACTTTGAGCCACGCCCAAATCATGTTTTTGGCTCGGGCGCCATGGTGTGCAGGTGCTGCGCCATGTCCGCAGACACGCCCCGGCGCCGCAGCTTGCGCCGCACCAGCACCGTGAGGCGGAAGAGGCGGAAGCTCGGCGGTGGCTTCCGAAGCTTGCGGGCGCTCAGGGGATGCCAGTCACAATCAAAACCGATCGGTACCCTCTTTCCAATCATGGAAGTGCACAAAGGGGTTCCCCAAAAGGAAAAGAGTCTTCCAAAGCTCTCCTGTCAACTTCCATGATTGGAGGGAGTGTACCAAAAATGGTGAACCCAGGACCATGTAAAGAACTAAGAAGGCGGAAATCCGCAACTATTTCCGGCTGGGACTGCCCCTTACTAACCTTCATCTACCCGGGTGGCTTCCTTTAAGGAAATCCTCAGGTTCATTCCCACATTCCCTGCTGACCACCAGCAAGGAAAGATTCATCGGGCACAAAAAGGCTCTTGGGCGGAGAAAGGGCTGTGGGTGTTTGTAGGGGACCCCCAAAATGGTAGAGTTCCTTCTGGCTTTCCCTTTAAAACCAACCAAAGAGTGGTTATCAAAAAGAAAAAAATGAAGAAAAACAACGACACACCCTTGTGTTTCTTGCACAGCTGCTGGCAAGTACCCTCCCACCCCTGCGCCGTTGCTCCCCGAAAGCGGATTCAGAAAACTGTCTCTCAAGCGTGGGGTCTGTGCACAGAGTCTTATCTAGGGGCTTATTTCTATGGGTTTTTGTGTCACACCCTGCAAATACACCCTCTGGGTATGACCCCATTTATGCACATTTCCTAGGGTGGAAATCCCAGGGTGTAATACAAACACCCATTCTTTTCAAGCATTGCTCTTTCCCAAACCAGCTGTTTCTTCTCGGTTTTTGCTGGTTGCCTGAAAAGAAGGGTTGCTGGAAAGAATGGGGAAGCTTCCGCTAGGAATTAGAAGCACCGGAGAGTCCTCCCAAAAAACTCTGCGCTCCATGGATCGACCAGTGGCACTCTGAAGAGTCGCAGGATGCGCAGCGTCCCAGTGGTGCGGAGAAGCCTAAGCCATCTGAACACATGCCCATCTGGCTGTGGGTCAAAACCAATGGCATCCCATTTTGGGCTAGGTGAATTCACCACCCATTTTAGGACCTATTTTAGTGGTTGGATTGAATCGGATGTTCACTGGGGGTACGATTTGGGTTTGACCCATGGCCATCTGCCTTTACGGTGAAAGCGGCATTCAAACGGACGGTCGACTCATTGCCGACATAGAGAATTGGGTAGGCTGACTCTGGAAACTGAGAATCGACCAAGTGTGCCGTCACTTTCTGTGCCATGAGAGTGGTACTCTTACACCTGATGTGGATTCTGGATGTATCGAAGGCGCCTGCTCTCTGCACTCATCTCACTGAGGTCGTCCAGTCGTAGGCCTCTCCGCAGCCATTTCATCTGGCTTCACATGAGACTAGTTAGTCTACAAATGCAGAGCGCTCCAAACATAATCAAGTCCCTTTTTGATTGCACTCAAACTCAGTTGGGCCTGTGCAAGATTTGACTGGGGCGATGTCTCAAAGCCGCTTCAACTGTGAGGCATCAAAAACAGACTCCCTCAGCACATGACTGCCGACAGCAACGTCGGAACCTCAAATGGATTTTGGGGCCTTGTCGCGGGGAACAGCTTCCTCTACAAGAACCAAGGGTTCAAACCAATCCAACCACCAGTTATGAGACTGGACCTCGAAAAAGAAACGGCATCGAAGTGCCGAAGCTTGCGGCAGCCCACAGCCCCTGAGCTCGCAGCTGTCGATCTGCGAGATCAGCCCTGCCACTCCCGTGCAGAGCAAGACAAAGTCCAGGACGTTCCAGCTGTCCTGTGCTGCTGCTGCTGCTGCTGCTGTTGTGTGCCAGTGCCCGTGCTGCCTTTGGGGGGCCCCGGTCGGGTGTTCCAGCTCAAACCCTTTCCCGCAAAAGCCATGCCAAAATTGGTCCTACGGTCAATGTCACCCGAAGTTCATCAATTTGCTGGTGGGTAAGCCAATGAAACGATCGGACTATGAAAAAGGCTGCTTCCCTAAGACGAAGAATCCCATACGTGTGGCAAGTCTTCAGCTTGGACACCCCAGAATGGCGCACGTTTTCCGTTTGGCTTCCCTGGGTGTCTTTAAACAACTGGACACCGCAGAATGGTTTTGTGTTCCTTGCAGCTTCCCTGGAACCCACCCCCAAAAAGATGAACAGTCTCAAAACAGACACGGGCCCAGAACAGTGGGAACACAGCCCAGGGCAAGCCCCGCAACCTGACTTTGAAGCCACGCAACGTGACAAATCTCTGCACTGCAAAAACCCACAGCGTGGGCTTTGAAAGTTTGCCGTTTTTTTTTGGGTTGAGAAAGAAGGGACACCTCCTGAACAACGTCGTTTAGCTGCCGCCCGACATATGAAGTCATAGTCAAACCGATCGGGATGATAATGGTCTGCCCAGAACCATGAAAAGAACTATGAAAGCGGCCACCTAATTCTGGCTGGGATCGTCCCTTACTACCCCGGGTTTTGATGATGACTCTACTGCATCCCAAACAAGCAACAGCACACTGGGTGGAATCCCCAAACATTTCACGGACAAAACTGCTTTGCTGGCATATACAAGGTTCTCCGGAACTTCCCCAGCAATTTTCTGGGTTTTGGGGCGTGCCGTGAAATGTTGTTTTACAGTCCAAATCTTGGCCCTGTTCGCAATGTGGGTTCCTCTTGGTTTCCCTTTTAATGCCACCGAAACGAGGACTCCAAAAAAAAGACAGACCCGTGTGATTTTGGGTTAACGCCGACTCTCAAAGTGGCAAGTAAGCAAACATCAAAGGTGCGGAGTCGGGCGCAATGGGAACATGGGGTTCGTTTTTTTTCCTGGTTTTCGTGGGGATTCAGACCATTTTGGAGGGCTCCCATCCCTATAAGCAGAATTCCGGGGTCAACATTGTCTTTCACCCTTGAACTCGGTCTCCTCTCAATGACTCAGGAGTAACGCCAAGCTTCCCAGAAGTACTTGAGGCGGAAGGCGGTCAACTTCAACACCATCTCTACAAAGAAAATGGTCAGGAAGATTGCCTATCCACCAAGCAGGGGCGAGGACTTTACTGATTCAAGCATCCACCGGCACAATTTAAGCCTCAAGATTCCCTTACAAATTGCTTATTGCTCCAAATGTATGGGTCGAAATCCGTATTATATTTTTTTGGTAGTTCAAGGGTCCAGGAATATTGCTTATGAATAAGCATGCCACGTCTGGATTGTGACATGCGGAGCATGCTCATCACATGTTCACGAGGAGGTGGATCCCTGCAATCTGATCAAATGAACGGTACCCTTTTCAGGGTGCTTTAAAGGGAAGCCAAAAGGAAACCACTCATTTTGGGGGGTCTCCTACTTTTAAGATACTCCAATTTGACTCATTCCCTAGGACATGGACTTCGGGCAACCTCCCTTTACCCAAAAACCACTGCTTCACATTGGGGCATCGTCGTGCCTGGACCGTCAAACTGCCCAGAAATTGAGGCGATAACCCATATTTAGGGAACTGTGCTGGTTGCTCAGGTATTGCGACTGACCTATGACTGGTGGAGCCTCAAGGACAATGACCACCATGTTCTTGTAAGACACCGCCGCGATGTCCTGTCGCGCTAAGCCGGGCATCCATGGAATCCACCCGTTTCTGTGTCCAGCCTCGTACTGCACCACCGCCACGCTGAGGACGATGACGATGGTCATAAAGATTGTGAAGGGCAAGGAGTTACAGAGTCTCTGCAGCGAGCTGGTCTCGTGCAAGTTTCTTCGGCCTGAGAGCAAGAGTTGTTTGAAGGTGTGTGTGTGTGTGTGTGTTAGTTGTTGCTTTTCTTTACGCTGTTTGTTGTGTTATCCTCGCAGGGTTCAAGGTTGGGTGCCAGGCTTGTTTCGGGGCGTGGGTTTGGGGTTGGTTCACGGCGGGTTCGATTGGTTGTGGGCTTGTATACGTCGGTGTAGGCTTGGGTTGGTTTGGCTGCGCTTTAGGTGTCTAGCGCTGGCTTCTGGTGGGGTTGTTAGGGTTGGTTTAGGGTGGGTTAGGGTGGGTTTAGAGTTGGTTTGGGCTGTGGTTGTGTTTAGGTGGGCTTAGGGCGGCTTAGGGATTGTTTAGTGTTGGTTTGGCTTGTTGGTGGGCTTAGAGCTGGTTTAAGGTGGGTTTAGTTTGGGTTTACTGCTGGCTGAGGGTAGCTTTAGGATTGGTTGGGGGTTGGATAGGGTTGGTATCGGGTTTGCCTAACGCTTATTCAGGGCTGGTTTAAATTGGGCTTATTAGGGATGGTTCGGTGCTTGTTCAGTGCGTGGATAGGGTTGGTTTAGGGGGGGTTAGGGTGGGTGTTAGGATTAGCTTAGGTTGGTTTTAGAGTGGGTGGTGTTTAGGGTAGGTTTAGAGTTGGCTTAGGGACTGGTGATTTCTGGTTTAGAGTGGGTTCGGTCGTTAGGGCGAGTTTCGGTGGTTCTAGTTTGATTGTGGTTTAGGGTTTGTTTAGGGTGTGTGTACTGACCGAAACGTGAGTTTAGGGTTCTCCTTTGGACTCCTTAGGGTTCGTTCGGGGGTTTGGGTTTGTCTTTTAAGGTAGGTTATGACAAAGCCGAATCACCGCGAGTTGGGAGCAGCCCGCCCCATTCGACATGAGCTGCTCCCAGCTGAGAGCCCAAAAACTCAGCCGGAGCCTGGGAGGCCAGAAGTCCCCCGACCAAAAAGCCAAAAGCAAACAAGGTGATGCTGAGAGTGTTCCTGGTGCTGAGGATGCAGAACTCGCAAGAAGCCACAAGGCATAAGATCAACTCATGCCAAGTGGCTGATTTGGCCATGATACTCGTCTTCCTTTTCCTCAAGTCAACCCCACATGCAGCAGCTTGTCATGAACGTCCTGAAGAAGCAGCACTTGGTCAGTCGTGCATCTGCCTTCAAACGTTCAGTGCTCGGCACAAGTCTTCTCAAAAAGCCAAGATTCTTTGATCAGATCTTGCAGTCCTTGGCTGAAGCGGCCTACTCGCACGAACCGCGGCCACGAACCGCGGCTCAAATCAGCCAAGCTCCGAGTCAACATCTGACTTCAAATGGCTGTGGGTCAAAATAAGTAATTACCCAAAATGGAACCCTGGCAAATGGAAACATAGACTAAAATCTGCGGTCCCCTGGAGGCTTAATTTTGATCCACATCCAAATGTTCCTCTCTCGTTCTCAAAGGCAGCCTGCAAGCTGCGCCCCACCAAACAAGAACACCTTGATCTTTTCCGAATGGAAGCCGATGCAGGAAACTTTGGGGGCGGGGTCAAAAATCGAAAAATCCCTATTTGGGAACTGGTGATGTTTTCGTGCCGCCTTTCCAGCTACGCCTCTTGACAGATGGTTTTCTGCATTCCGCATCTTCCCCCAACAAAAGTCACCCGACTAAAAGGAAACTGACGCCAAAACGTGAAGCTTGAAGTTGCAAACATAGAAAAAGGACAGCTAACTGGTCCACGGTCAAAGTATGCTACTACCCGGACTAGAAGGGCAAGAGAGTCCCCCTTAGTTAGAGAAATTTAGAGTGTCTCCCGGGTTCTGCCCAACCAAGTTCACCAAAGACAAATCAGGAAAGGCCGAATCTCATCTGAAGTCCGTCCCTTATCAATGAACCTGTCGAATGGCCCACTTGGATCGATCTATGGAGTGGCTCCGAGGCTAACACCTAAACCCTGTCCGCCAAAAACATGTTCAAAAGAACCCCCCCCCCCCTCCGAAATGCACAACAAACTGTCATCCGCTCCCCTCCCCACCAAAAATACGCACACAAAACTACGACCCCCCCCCCAAGAAAAAAAAATAGAGAGAGAAAAGAAAAACAAGAAGAGAGACAAGAACACGGCCCTCCACCCCCGAGAAAAGAAGAAAAAAAGGACAAAAGAACCGGTCGAAGTCCTTCCGAGGGGCGTTCCAAGTCCTTCAGCTCGTGGGGCGGCGTCTCCCGGGCCATGGAGACGCTGAGCAGCAGGGCCTCCCCCGTCTCCGTGTCCGGGAAGTGGCGCTTCTCGATGAGCTCCCAATACTCGCTCTCCACCTTTCCAAGCGAGACGCCAAAAAAAAGAAGCGACCCCGAGTTTTGTGAACCAAAGGTAGTGCACCGGTTTAAGGGAGACACACACACACACACACAAAAAATGGCGAGTTCTTTAAGCCAATTGTTGAGTGTTCCAGGGGCCAAGATATCGACTAAGGCCAAGGGTCTTTTCGGGCTTCTTTTTTGGGTCCCCTCTTTGGGGGGCCCGTGACCATGGGAAGTGTGAGTCGCTTTGCCCATCGTGCCAATATAAGGGGTATGTAAGGGGTATGCAAATGAGACAAATTAACCCTTTGAATTGACCCTTAGATTGTGTGTTCAAGGGAAAAAAAGGCGAGTCGGCAAAAGCTGGACTAGGGAACCGCAGGGGACAGGCTGTGAAAAGAATGGCACGCTTGTTGGCCCCTTCTCCCCTTTTCGGAGCCCTGTGCAAGGTAGGCCAGGAAATCACAGTACCCAAAGGACATCCTGAGGGAACCCCAAACGAACCAACCGTTTCGCTTGCACTTCACGCCTCTTCACGCCATGTGCCAGAGGGATATACAGTGAAGGCAAAGCGCTGGAGAGCGCACTGTGGAGATGTTCCGGGGACAAGCAATCTACCTTTTAAGCAACCAGTTGTCCTGGCTTGAAGATGCAGTCTTCGAGAACGGGACCAGAGAGAGACCAAAACGACACGCAAGATCGTACAAGAGACGATGAAAGCAACGCCTGCAAGAACAGGTAAACAGGTACACGCCACCATTTTATCCAGGCGCAATCGACCGCCGCAAGCCTTTCAGGGAGGTAAGGAGATGCATCCGAACAGTCAAGCGACTATCTTCAGGAAGGCTTCGTTGAGAACTCGCAGCATTGGCGGCCATACGTTGTCCTTCTCCACCACGTGGTGGATGTGAGGCATGTCGTTTTGCATCGGCAAATCATCTAGCCTAGCGGCACTCGGGCTGATCACAAATGCAACCCCATGCCTCACTCGGGAGTTAAGACTCAAGACCAAAGCGATGCCTCGCCAACCCTTCATTGACAAATTGTGGGAGATTCAATGGAATTCCTGACTCTGCCTCCTTGTTCTTGAGGGCTGCCGTCATGCAATAATTTCGACCCCAAGTCCCAGTAGAACCTAGTGGACTTGGGGAGCAGGCGGTCGTTCGCGTTCACCAAGGAATCATCGCCCCAAGATCGATTTCAGCTTTGCCGCCGGTTTCCCTTTTCAACTCCCAGACCTGCGGTGCCCGCAACCAAAAAGAAAAAGCTTTTCAGCCTTCTGTCTGTTGGTTTCCCTGTTCAACCTCGGTCCCCTCCACAAAAAACAAAAAAAAAAAAACGGCGCGCGCGGTTTCTTTCCCGTCGAGGCGCAGATCCAGGATGGTGACCGCGAAGCCGGCGTCGCAGGAGTGGTCCTGCTGGGACTTCAGCAGCTGCCGTCGCATCTCCTCCGTCTTCGCCTTCCCCTCCTGCCAGTCGTTGACCTCGCGGAGATCGCTCTCCTTCCAACACCCCACCCAAAAAAAACAAAAAAACTTAGTACTGAGCATCAGCAAGCTCTTTGTGTAGGTTTGACAGAGAAACCCTTTGCGGAACATCCCGCCATTTAGGGTCCAAATCCTACCAACCTTTTCTTGCTGCGTCGATTTGAGACATGGAAGGACCCCGAGGAAAACCATCCGTCAAACGGTTCCTTCCCAAAGGCCGGAAGGTCCCGAAGCACCAAGTTTTGCGTCGGGTCTCGGACCATAAGAGGGGCCAGCAAGCAACCCCCCAACCACTGCTTTTCGGTTACCGAACAAACGGGATTTTGGACATGGCTGAAAAAGTAGGCAAGTTGGGGTGGTGCTGGGGGGGCGCTGTTTCTTTTCTGTTCTTTATGAGGCACACAATATTTGGGTATGAATCCTACATAGACACCCTTAAACATCATTTCGGTGGGGATTACAAAGTCCGCCGACCACTTTTCAGGTGGTTCCTCCGTTCAGCTCCGAGTTCAGTCTCATTCCGCCCTTTCGCCATCAGTTGATCAGCTTTACACCACTAAGGGGCGCAAGCCCTTTCAGCTCCTGGCAAAAAAAAAAGAGCCCATGCCTTTCGACCACAGGAGCCTACCCGGGCGGTTCACGATGATGCCAGGGCACGTTGTCGACCCCGGCAGTGAGAGTTACTTTTTCCCCCAGCTTCCGCAGGCCGTGCACCACATCTTCCGTGAACCTGGCCGTGACTCGTCCGATCCGAAAATATCTGGCTTGTCTTTGATTCCAGGGGCAGTCTCTCCTAAGGTTCCTCCTGATCGCGCTCCGTCCGATGGCATTGAAAACGACAAAAAATGAAAAACAAATAGAAGAAGAAAAAAAGAAGAAAAAAAGGAAAAAACGGAATGGCCTGCTCGCCCGGGATCGTCGAAGTCGTGTCTCCTTCGGATCGGTTGGCGCGAGCGAGATAGACTTGGGGGTGACCGAATCACAGGATACATGGTTTTCAAAGGTGCATGGTGCATCAGAGGCTTCGGCATTGCCGGCAAGTAGAGTACTTGCTAGGGGTGCCTTCCCCATTCTTTCCAGGAATCCGAATCTTTCTAGAAAACCTCCGGAATCCCAGGGAAAACGGATCTGGTTTGTGAAAAGAAAGATGGCTGAAAAGAATGGGCTAGAGGAATCAACTTCCAGAAACCTTCACTGCGGTCATGCCCTTGTAGGACGTTGCTCTTGCTGTGCACGATCTCCACCTCCTGGACCTCGTCCTCCTCGCCTGGCTCTCTCAGCTCAGCTCAGGCCGGGTACACCTCCGATGAGTCTTTGAGGGATGGGCAGCTTGAACCATCCAGAAAAGCCAAACCACTCACTTGCTGAGTGGCCCAAAAAACCGCTGAACCTTTTATTTGCCACTAACATGGTCCGCCCGAAAAGTGACTAAAGTCCAGGAGCTCAGGAAGTGAGACCAACTTCGCGCCATGCCACAAGGGCTCAACAAAACCCAACGCACACATCCCCTCAAAGATCGAGCGGCCGATTTTCTGCTTCTTGATCTCGTGCTTCAGGTCCCCGAGGACCTGGACACCAAATCACCAGCATAGCAACATCGCATGCGTGAAGGGGTTTCTGGGCGATTCGGTGGAGCTCGGCGAACGAGTTCAAGCCGGAGGACGCGGTTTCCGTACAAGGCAGACTGTGAAAGCAGGTCTGCGGTCTGCGCCACCCCCCTCGAGCCATGACATCAACCCATCCGAGGCGCATGGGAGAGGGTGTGGGTCACTTGACTGTTGGTCCCGAGGTGCTTCGCTTCCACCTGAACGCCGGGCAGCACTCGGCAGCCAGATGTTGGAGACACCAAAACAACCCGTGCTGTTTTTGTTTCATGTCTGCTGACGGTGTCCCGTGAGTGGCTTTTGGCAAACTCCAAGTGACATGACGCCTCGCGCCCTGCAAGTCTGAAGAAAGCAAAACTGAAGGGCTCAAGGGTCAAAGTGCTTGCCGCCACTCGCGATTTGTCAACTTTGGTGGCCAGTCGCCGGCAATTCACAAAAGGACAAGAAGCCTTCCTTCTCTTCCGTTCAACCCATTTGAACGTCACCTTTTTGGTTGCCTGCCACAGTGGGCGGGGGTGGCTATTGAAACCTGTTTCTGCTGGAAAGCCGCTTTCGAAAACCTGTGCAACCGGATCTGGGCTTCCGAACTTCCGGAGTTTCCGATCCGAAAACTCCAACCCTGCCTTCAAGCGGGAGTGCAGCATCAGCATCATGCTCTGCTTGGCGCTCTCCCAGCGAGTGATGCCCAGTACGCTCACCAGCAAGGGGCTGGTCGTGGCATTCACCACCAGCGTCCTAAGAAATCCGTTGAACAATGGTGAATGCAAGAACAGGAGCTCGAAAAGGGAGTGCTTCCGCATTTTCATATCTCCCCTTATCATTCCCAAGCTCCCTTTGACAACCAAAAGGTTTTCTCGTATTTCACATCCATTGAAACCGATCTTGGGAATCCCGAATCAAGCTAAGACCACCGAGATGGGACAGAGAAAGATTGGAACCAGCGTTGAGCTTGCACCTCCTATTGCTGCAGCTCGACCTTCACCAGGTCTTTGTTCAATCGCGCTTTTGGTTCATATGCAGTGAATGTTAGCACCCATATATGTTCACATTGCTTATATGGTTGTGTCTCATAATAGGGGTCCTGTTGCGTCCCTTTAAACCCATCCACAAAAAGGGTACCCTCAAAAAAGACACACCCACATGCGCAAACGTCAAAACTCCTTATATGGTCATATGGTCATGGTTGCCTCAATAGGAATCATGAATATTGAGGATCCTTACCAGGACCATCTCAATCCCAATCTGAGGAACCAGTCTTTTCACCACCCACGCAGACCGAGGCCGCGGCAGCGCCGCGACGCCGCCCACGTAGAACAGCACCCGGTGCGCGTCCTCGTAGGAGAGGACGCCTCGGCCGGAGCGATGGCCGTCGAAAATCGGTGGCCATCCAATGCATTCAGATCGAGCGCGGTCATCGGATCGAGAGATGGATTGGAAGACTTCCTGCATGTGGATGTGTGTGGGTTTCCTGTTCCTTGTCTTGAATCCTCGGCTTCCACTCAGACCGTCGGCTTCCGCGTCTCCCCGCCCGCGCGGCTCAGACCGCAGACCCCGCGCCTCCGGCGCGGTCCTTGGCCACCTGGATGGCCAGCGACAGGCCCACGGCCCCCCGCAGCCCGCCCCAGGTGATCACCAGCGCCTCCTGCACCGTGACCTGCCGCAGACGCGCGCGAGGTGATCCAGAGCGAGCCGCTGGACCGGAGAGCGGATCGGAACGAAAAGGAAAACAGCGGAAACGGCCCGGGAAAAGGGGAGAAGGGGTCAAACCCGCAACACAATATGGTGCTAACCCCAGCTATTGCATCCATTGTTTAACCGTGAAAGAAAGGAGCTTCATCTATTACGGGAAAAACATGGTTGGGGGCTTTGGAAGGCTCAAGGCTGAGGGGGTATTAGAAGCACTGAGACGACTTCCAAGTTTCGGCTCATCCCGAAAGCTCCTTCTGCCGGGCCGGATGCATCAGCTGCAGCAGCGGCATGGAGCAAAACACGATGCTGCCACCTCGAATCCCATGCGAAGAAGCGAGGCCCAATGGAAAAAACGCCAAGCGATTCCCATAGACTCAGAACTTCGCATGGTAAATTGCCCAAACGTTGGTGAAGATTGGATGTGAATCGTCCCATGAGGTTACAAGACTTGCCCAAATACGACATATGGTCACAAGTAAGTGGAATTATATATATATATATATATATACACATATATATATATATATATGTATATATATATATATGGTCTGCGGCAAAGGGTTGCTCACAAGAAGGGGGGGCCTAGAAAAACTCCCCAAAGCCTGGGCAAGCATGGGCCATTTTCCTTGGGGTTCAGCTAGTCCTGGAGCTTGGCTCGCGGCGAGCCAAGACCAGGAAGATATAGATCACCTTGCGCGTGCGCCGGCCACTGCCAAACACCAACTTTGTGGACTAGACATTTTATAGCTCCTCGCAATGTGGGTCCTGGAAGACCGCCCCCAAAAGGAAAATCACTGAACACGGCCCCAAAAGGCGGCGCCACAAAACCACCCAAAGTTGGGGAACACTTGGAGCTCTGTCAAGCATTGCCCCCAAACCAAGTCCGCGGAATCAACGCGGCCATAGCCCACCACTAAGTCACCATGTGCAGCCACGCCGCCAAAAGATGTCCCCAATCTTGGGCCTCGATGTTGATCATGGAATTCCTCGGCGAAAATCCCGCAACTGGACCACCGGTTGAACATGTGGATGTCTCAGTTTTCAGGGCACACCCCCTTTCTTTTGTGGGTTTTCACAGAAACCAAGAAAGGAAAACCAAACATGTTAGGGGCTTTCCCTACACAAAGACTTCACCCATGTCCAGTGACGATTGGGACGCGCCAAGGCTCCCAGTGAGCGCACCCGCGAGGAAGAAGATGAGGGTGTTGCAGAGGTACTCAAAGACGTGCCAAAAGCTCATGAGGGACTCCCTGCATCGAAGTGCCCGGCAACTCGAAGAGTCTACTTGCGCGTCCGCTCTAATCGAATGCCAACGTTCTCCGAAGAGCAGCTTTGAGAACGCGTCGCGCACATCAAGCTAACCTCTCCAGGCACACATAAACAAAAATGTGTTGAATGTTTCTTCCGCTTGAGATGATGTACAAGCGGCTCGGGGTCTCAAGCTTCGAGCCTTCGGTTCTCTCAAGGCACCGTACCAAGGAGTCCATTGGGCACTGGCCTGTCAATGATGACAGGCCACATCTTGCGCGCGAGAACGAGCGCTGCAGCCACGGTCGAAAGAACCTCAGGCCAAAATCAGAAAGCCCAACATAGCATCAGCCGAAGTTTTGCTGCTTTCGAACAAATGTCCTCTTGTACCAACTGTGCTCCTGCTCTTTGGCTGTCCACCCTACACAGGAAGGGTCTATCATCATCATCGAATCATCATCGAATCATCATCATCCTCATCATCATCATCATCACCACAGCTGCCGATTGAATAGAGGAGATGCTTCGCGCTTCGGAAATATAGTTGTCGCGATAGTTTGTAGACAACGTGGTAGAAGCCCCAGCATTCGTGGTGTTGTAGTAGAAGAAATGCTTTTCCGCTTGCTGCACGTAGATCTTCGTTCCATGTTGGGAGGGAAACTCCCCAAACAGGGAAAGGCCCTGCGAAAGTCTCGTTCGTCTCAGGGCCTGTGAACCAACA